GCAAATTATTCGATTGAATTTTATTTACAATTTTATTTCACCAAAAATGATGAGCTGTTATTTTCCCCGTGTTTAACGTTTTAATCCGTTTATTTGTGTCAGTAATGGTTTTTTTTCTGCGCTTGAGCTTCGGGATTAAAGTTTAATCATAGTGAAACAGCAGATTAGCAGAGAATAATCYTAATCCTATTATTAGACAAAAGATTATCCAAAGAGACTTTGATAAAAGTTTCTTCAACAGACGGTGACATTTTTTTTTATTGTTCTGAGCTTTATGGAACTCTTTTGCACAAACGAAAGTAAATCGAAAATCAGTCCAGACCATAAAAAAAAGAAAATGTTGCTGTTCGAAACACAAGAAAAAAGCAGAAAGTGACGCAGCTCTGCGGGCCCAGGAAAAAAAAAGAAAAGAAGAAGAAGAAGAAGAAGAAGAAGAAGAAGAATCCGGTGATTCAGCCAGGAATTGGAGGTTAACGAATGTCACCGGTCATTAATATTCATGTATTCAAAAGCTAATAATTCAAAAACAAGTGCTTCACGGTGAATTAGGTGGGTGCGTTAAGGTATTGTCGCCTAATGAATGCTAACTTTTATGTGGGGGGTGAATATTGCCCTGATTCTCTGGCCCAACACACCGTGTGCGCTCCTGGACATACCCCCCCCCCCACCCCCTCACCCTCCTCCTCTTTATGAGGCGTTAACAGATGGGCCGCCGCCATTGTTTCTGGAGACTTGCGATTTCAAGCAACAGCTGCTGTCACTTCCACGGGAAAGCGCGCACGAGGGAAAGGCCCGCTCTCAATGGCCCGGCTCCGGAGCGCCAGATTGGGCTGGGCGTTTGCCCTTTTGATGGAGATCATAAACAATGGCCTGTATGAGAATTACAAAATCATTACATCTGTATTATCTTTTGAGTGCTCGACTGGGGGTCATTTGGATGGCTCCCTGTGCCTATTTCCCATTTGGCACCAGATCTAAGAGGCAGAATCTGAACCATTTGGTACCTGATGTTACTTCCCATATTTTAGAATTTTGCTCCTGATAATATATAAAAATAAAGAAATTGATATTTAACAAATTTTAATTTTATTGTTTTTATTTTATGCTTATATTTTGTCCAACAGGTTATCAAACACATTCTTCGAATTTTACGCACGGATTAAACATTTTAAACCCAGAAATAAATATTATTTTTATGCGTTTAATAAATGATAAGTATTTATTTAGTTGTGTTTTATGCCGTGAATATATGTGTGAAGTGGTGGTGTACGTGATGTTTGAAAGTTGGAAGGTAGYGCAAAAATGCTTCAGTTTTACGCACGGATCTGGATTTTACGCACAGAAATAAATGTTAAWAAAATACATGTTTTAGAGTTTAATGTGTCTAATAAATAATCAGTTTAGTTAGCTGGTTGGGTTTTATGGCGTCTCAGTGAGTTTAAACTATAAAATAGCGTCGGGGRATGTTTTATTTTCTTTAAGTTACTGTACAAATTTACGCACGGATTTGGATTGTATTCATGGTAATAACACTAATCCAGATTGATCTCTTATGTTTTGCTTTTCCACAGGTGATGAGCGTTACATCTGCTGGTACTGCTGGAGAATATTCAAATACCCGAACACACTCAAGGCCCACGTCCACTTCCACTGCGCTCTGAGCAACGGACGGGGGTTTACGACGAGTGAGCAAGCCAGAGGCAGCGAGTCCTTCAGCAGGTCCCCCAAATCCGGAGACATTCCCAACACSTCCACCTCTCCCAGGAGCAGCCACAGTACCTCGTCCGTTTCAGACTCCGGCAGGAGGGTGGTGTCCTCCTCTCCGTTCCTAAACAAAACGGGACTGTCAAAGAAAAGCAGCTCGGAGGAGCAGGACAGGGCCCTTGATATGAGCGTTACATCAACCAGGAACCACCAGGGACACCTCCTGGGTCTGGGCGCTACATCTTCAGTGCTGGGCAGCATGGGCTTCTATCCGGGCGTGCGCTCCGCCTTCAAGCCCACCGGCGTGTCCAAGGTCCCGGATCCTTCCAGAGAGGAGGCCAACGGGAAGACGAGCGGCCTCGGCTTCAGTAAGCTGGTCGGGAACATGAAACCAATCCGCAGTTTAGGAGAGGGCCTGAACGGAGGCGGGAGTCACCCTGCAAAGTGCGCACCTGCTMTTCTGGACTCCTCATCTCCGATGGTTCCGTGCGCAAACCCTATCCGGGGTTTCCCGTTGCTGCAACACGTGGAGGAAACCTCRGCTTTTAAACACGTAGAGAGCCGGATGCACTCCGGCCTGTCCCCGTCCCGTTACCCCCAGATGCCCCCGGGACTTCACTTTGAAAGGTTTTCTCTCCCTCACTTTGACGGAGTGAAGTCTTACAGCGGAGACTGTAACCTCCCTCTCATGCCCTTCACCGTGTATAACGGGGAGCTGCTCTACAGCTCGCCCTACTATCCGCTCAAATTCCACTTCAGCAACCTCCTCAAGTACCCAGACTCCGTGCCCTACTTCGGGCCGCCCCCCCTCACCCAGGACCTGGGCTCCATCACAAACATAGACCGGGAGATCGCCATGCACACTCAGCAGCTGTCMGAGATCGCCGCGGAGAAGAACCGGGCGCGCATGGACCCCATACCCACCGGGAGCGCGGGCGGCACCGGGTCGGGCAAGCCCAAAAAGGGACACCTGTGTCTGTACTGCGGCAAGCTGTACTCGCGGAAATACGGCCTGAAAATCCACATGAGGACTCACACCGGCTACAAGCCGCTCAAGTGCAAAGTGTGCTTCCGGCCCTTCGGGGATCCGAGCAACCTGAACAAACACATCCGGCTGCACGCGGAGGGAAACACGCCCTACAGGTGCGACTTCTGCGGGAAAGTGCTGGTCCGGAGGAGGGACCTGGAGCGGCACGTGAAGTCCAGACACCCGGGACAGAGCGTGAAGAAGCTGGACGAGAAGCCGGGCGGCCTGTTCGAGGACGCGGAGCAGAAGAGCGACAATGACAGTGATGTGGATGTGTGCTTCACTGACGACCAGAGCGACCAGGAGTCCGGCAAAAAYAACCACTGACATGTTGACTTCTGCTCACACACAACAGATCACACACAGGAAAAAACAATCGGTCTCTTGTCTCAGAGCCATCTAAGGGGCTGCACASCAAATAAAGTGAAGAAAACAATCTTTTACAGATGAAATATTGCTTTTTGGACATTAAAAAAGATCAAATTTGATGTCAAACACTTCAAATTTTTATATTTTGATCCTTTTTTCAGTCTCAGATATTTAACCAGTCGACAGCTGTCACGTGCATTTCTGCTCATCAAATAACAGAAAACAGAAAAAAAGAGTGGATCTAAACGTCTGCTGCTGGTCTTGTTTGTTTTGAATGCCAATCATCATAATAACACAAACAAACAAACAAACAAACAAACAAACAAACAAACAAACAAACAAACAAACAAACAAACAAACAAACAAACAAACAAACAAACAAACNAACAAACAAACAAACAAACAAACAAACAAACAAACAAACAAACAAACAAACAAACAAACAAACAAACAAACAAACAAACAAACAAACAAACAAAGCCCTTTGTTTACAACGCAGACGCTGCAGCTGCGCATAAAACCAGTGATCATTTGCAGACATTCTTCCTCGTCCTGCAAAAACTGAACACGAGGCTTGGTAAATTTCACTCTGGGTAGTGTAAAAAAATAACAACACAAAATAAAACGATCTTTGTTTCCATGAAATGATTGATGAGAACAACGCCTGATCCAAAAAGTGGAATAAAAACACGTTTCTTCCTGAAAATATTGTCATTTTGTAGAAAAAGTTGTTTCCTTTGCTTTTGKTTTTGTGAATAATTTCCCCGCTCTTAAACTGTCAGTTGCACTTTAAAAACAACGTGTTTCTTTTCTGTTCACTAATGTTACCCCCCCCTCCCCCCATCCAAAAACAGACGCTTATATTTGCACTTTCTGAAACGAGCTGTTTTTGAGCRGGTCCCAGTTTTATTTAAGGAATTCTAAGCAGAGAAAGAAGATGTATTGATTGCAGTTATGTAAAATATGATATTCCATATTTCAGTGCTGTATAAGTGTTTATAAGTGATGTTGGAGGACAATGTTTGATTTGTAATAATTAAGTGGTTGGTTTTTGAATAAATTAAATTTAAAATGATCTTTGAGGTGTTTTATTTTCATTTAAATAAAACAAGAATTTTAGTTCTTTTCCCAGGATCAGAGGATTTTTTTATTCATCCCTGAGAGTTTTAAGGTTAATAAAGATAAAACAATCTCAAAAAACATTAATCAATTTTTTATTTCATTTTTTTATTTTATTTTATTTTTGTACAACAGTTAATTCTCACACTGTAAATCCTCACCAGAGCCTCACCAGTAGACTGGGCATTTAGTAACCCTTTACTTCTTTCCTCTTATTTAAGATGTATGAATGAAAAAAAAAAGAATGCCATTTATTCAACCAGTATAAAGAAAGGAAAGCTTGAAATGTTTGAATACTTAAGGAGATTTTTTCAAATAGGAAATAACTGCGATTTTACTCGTTTGCACAAGTTATTCTCTTTCAGACCTTATCTGGACCACTGCAATCAAACATTTTTACTCTTCTTATTGAGTAAAAATCACAATAGCTTAATTTGCATCATACAGGGTATTTTCTTATCATTTATACCTTGATTTTAGTCTTCAAGAAAACAGGTTTTTATAGAATTTGCCATAGCAAAAAATTGTGCACTGTAAAATAACAATACACCCACAAACAAACATACTAAGTTAAAAACAAAGTAAAATGTTTATGGGCTGTGGAGAAGAAGTTGCTAACCATAATGCAGAAAACACACTTACCTTATATTGCTACATGTCTGTAAATAACAGAATAAAACTGACAAATAGTTAATCTTCATGACAAACATTTTAAAAATCTTTAAAAAAAAATCAAGCTTATTCTTCATTTCTAAAAGTTTGAGTATAAATTTGAGATGGGTTTGGAGGGCTAAGAAGTCAGTCTTA